AAAAAAACAAATTGTCCCCATCTTGAGATGCCTGGATTCTCAGACTGTTTGTTGTGAGCCACTTGGGTGTCTCAGTGGTGCCAGGAAATGATTATCGTGCAAACCAACAACCCTTCCCTCCCTCTTCACATCTGTTACACAACAAGATGCATCCCTCCAAGACTTCATTTAGGGGAGACTGTGGAAAATAAATTTGGGTACTGTTTGGTGTTTGAATAAATTCTAGCATGAAGAAGAAGAAGAAGGAAAAAAGAAACTGTCTTTATACACACGTGACTCCTCAGTATGTGCAGCCATGCATAGAGCAACGCTTGTCAGATTTCTGTACATCATACCCAACAACAAGCCTTCGTGGTGCCGAAAATGTGGAGTTTGAACAAAGAGGACTTGAAAATTTGACCTAAAGAAGGCTCTTATGTTGTCATCACAGTGTCATAGTAAAAAAATTGGAGTGACATAGAGAGAAATCAACAGGAAACTGTAAGAGTGCCGAACATTCTGTTTTGTGTTTTGCAAAGACTTGAATGTATGACTAGCGATATGTTTAAACTTTCAGCTTATCTAACCTGCTCTGTTTCCATTCAGGCCAGTAGTCAACCTGCATCAGTTTGGGTAATGTAGATGAACGGAGGGGCGTGGTTTTAAAAATTCAGACAGCATACAAACAGAAAATTGGACTATCACCCCATGTCACGAGTCTGTGGGGGGGAAAAAATGAAAAACTCTAATGTTGTTATAGGGTGCAATGTCGCAATGTTGTCTTCTTCCTTTAGTACAGCTTGCAGAGCTCGCAAGCTCACCAGGAAATTTATCTAGAGATGCCGAACAATTGTACAGTTCAGTATAGGTCTGCATTTTTTTTTCTTCTTTTATTTACATTCTAGACCTTGTCACAAACTGGTCAAATGTTAAGCAGTGGTGGTCTTTTTAGGTATATGTAGTGTTATTAACAAAATCCCTCTCTGGTGTCTTGTTACTTTTCTCAGAAATGGTCCATGGTCGTGTTTGAAAGGAACTTTTATTGCATTGCACAGTGTTGATCATGTTTTAATTATTGATGACTGCCCTTCGATTTTATATGATGGACTGTATTGGACTTGCTAACCTTATGGCTATAAGGAAGTAGCATAATTAACCTAACTGGTGGTCTCTCTTACAGCTCAATGAATTTTAATGATGTAAAAACAGCATTACTAGTGATGGGCTGATCATTTTGAGTGTCTGAATACAACTTAATAAATCCAATAAAGAGGTCTGTTGTACAGCTTTTTGCTCTGAACATGTTGTGATATGCGGAGCAGTCGGACACTGCATGTCAGGCCCATATCCTCGTGAGTATATGATGCAAAATGTCCAATTTGGCCACATGTCACATTGAGTCATAAGGAATCTCAACAAAAATGACTGGATCTATATAAAATACTTAATAACTCATAACGTTCTGTGTAATCCTAATAAACAGGCAAATCAGACCAATCACAATAACCTCTTTGGCCTATCTTAGCTTGATGTCAAACAGAACTGACATTACACCCCTCCCATTGTAGAAGAGTTAAGGTTGCGTATAATTACCAGGTAATTGTTTTCTAGCATGCCAAATAAACTAAACACAAGCTGTCAAGATTAAAATGATGAGTAGAATATCAACTTTGCAGGTAATTTTGTGAAATTAAAATACTGAATGCTGAATGTTATGGAGACACAAATGTCTGATGTGCCAGAAGACCTGACCAGTGTTCTGCATTATCTAAACCATTTAAAGTCCACACCTCTGTGGCCAAAGCATTTGGCTCCTTGTTTGCATATGCCGTCACCTTTGTTTGGTTTTTGTAGTACAACATGCACATGTGTAAAAATACACCTATATAAACCTTACTGACACTAACATTCATATTTTTTCTTATAGACACCATATATACTAAAAAGTACTTTCAGCTGTTCCCTCATTCACAAGGTCAGCACAGCAAGCAGTGACATATTTGAGGTGGCAGAGTCCTGATGGCCTTCCCGACACATCTTCCAAGGAATTTGCATCTCCTCCCAGGATCAAGTGAGTAAGCTCCTGCTTGTATGAAGTCACTTGTATACTGTACATATTACTCATATAATTATTCTAAATATGCAATAATTATTATTCCGTATAGTGGATATAAATGATTACTATATAAGTTAAAAATTCCTGTGAATTTAGCTGTGCATCTTCCTTCTTTGCAGTGACCCACAAATCACTTGACATAGAAAAGGTAAAATAAATAAGGCTGAGATATCCTGGTTTATATATTCTGTAGTACAGGTCAGCATCAAAGTGTCAGTCATTAAAATCACAAATTATTAAACTGATCTTAGTTAAGTTTAATTGCAATTTCAATCTAGCGGCAGAATGACTTGCAGCTTCTTCAGGCTGCAAGTCAAAGTGATAAAGTGATACATTGTGATGCGTCATTGCTGTGTGAATGCTGCATCTTTAAAAAGCTTTAAAGTGACTGGTTATGTGTATGTGGCTTTTACTATATGGTTAATATTACCAGGAAAAGTGCTCATGCACTCATCAGTCCATTCATTAGCTACACTTTGCTAATGCCATGCTGGTTCTTCGTTTGCCTTAATTCTTTATAGCATAGATTCAGCAAAGTGTTGGCAACATTCTTCTGAGATTTTGGTCCTTCTTGACATGAGATCATCATACAGTTGTTGCAGATTTGTCAGCTGCACATCCATGAACCCCTGTTCCACCACATCCTAACGGTACTCTTATTAGACTGAGATCTGCTGACTGTGGAAACCATTTGAGTACAGTGAACTCACTGTCATGTTCAAGCACCAAGGTTTGGACGATATGAGCCACCACTGTGTTCATAAAGGCATAGACATGGTCAGCAACAATACTCACGTAGGTGAAATGATGCTCTTTTGGTACTAAGGCGTTCCAAGTGTGCCAAGAAAATATCCCCAACACGAGCATCCCCAATATTTACACCAAATTCTGATCCTACCATCCAAATGTACATACCTTAGGTTACTTGCTATCAGTTGAAGAAGTCCATGTCTGACCTCTGACATCCACAAGATATTTTCACCCAGAGAACTAACGCACACTGAATATTTTCTCTTTTTTGGGCCATTTTCTGTAAACCCTAGAGATGGTATGCATGGGAAAATCCCAGTAGATCAACATTTTCTGAAATCCTCAGATGAGCCGTCTGGCACCAGAAACTATGCCACTCTAAAAGTCCCTTAAAACACATTTCTACCCCCATTCTGATGCCTAGGTTAAACTTGAGCGAGTCTACAGGCCTAAAGGCATTGAATTACTGCCATGTGATTGGCTGATTAGATATCTGCGTCACTAAGCTGTTGAACAGGTGCACCTACTAAAGTGACCGGTGAGTTCAAATGTAGTCTACTGAGGTTAACAGCTTTGTTTTGTACACACATATTAAATTTCACACCTCCAATTTGTCACACTTGAGCTTTGAGTTTTGGTCTACACCCATCCATTCGCACCACCATCCAACCGAATTTTCTCACTTGAGCTCACTTCTTGTCACTTCCAGGCCCGTGCTTCAGTATATATTCCCATCTTCAGCCTCTTCTCTCAGCATCTTGCTCGATGACATCCTGACACTTCAACAATCTCTATCCTTAAAGTCCACATAGATGAGTCATGTGAACTCTCAGCCTGATCACGTTTGGATAGGACTCAAATTACAGTTCTTAAAACCTTATTAACAGCTTGTTCATCGAGTTCTGCCCACACACTGCAGAGGCACGAAGCGGCAGATAGAGAGAAGAGTGGTAAGGCTGTATAATACAGGGATAAATATCCAATTAAATTGGAGGCTAAAGTGGCAAAAAACCTCTTGGAGAACTTGATGATGCTCCTCAACTTGACAGCGCTGTGATAAGAGGTTGATTGCACAAAATTACAAATCATTCCCTACTGGTACAAAGTCAGTCATTTAAAGATTTCAACTTTCACTACAACATCATGGAGAAAGAGTTTGCTTTTCCTTCTCACAGTATTTCTATAAAGTCTTGTCAGTCCACTGAACTGTCAGACGTTCTCAGAAGCACTGTTTCTCCAATTGTAGTAAAATTTGAAACAATGTATATTTTAAGATACTCCTGCAGGAGGTAGAACAAAGCACAGCCACATTTTTGCATATCCTCAAAGGTGTCTGAAGGAATTTTAAGCAAATTGTCATTTAAAAATATTTTACTGTACAATCAGTTGCATCAACAGATATTAAAAGAAAAGAAAAGAATAATAGATAAATACATAAGTACAAAATAGTGCCAAGCTGTTATGGTGTGCTCTGTCTGAACTCATGTTAAAAATGTGGATAAACCAAATGATTCACACTACTTATGTCATTTCTAGCATACTAATTATACACTAGTTATGTATTTTAATTCATGTAGTAAATTATTTACTCAACTAATGTATAAGATAAGTAAGAGGTGGTTCATCTTTCGATTGGCTTTCAGAAGATGGGCAAGAAAGTGACTTGTCCATAGTGTTGGCAGCAGAATTGAGTCCAACAGCATGGAAAAGTAGAACTTAAAGAATAGACTAGAATCCCAAATACAAAAAAGACATGCAG